ATCCCAGTTGTTTGCATTCACATCAATGATGGTGCATGGGGAAAGCAGATGCAGTGGATGAATTTGCCTGTATCCAAAGTATTGGTAATGGATACTTTCTTCATCCCCTGGGACTGATGATTATTATCTTTTCCTCGTGGCCATATAATGTAAGCAAGTGGGTAGCTTTTCTAACATACCTTTTAAGGCATCACTCATGAGGGAGAACTGGCTATAGAAATACTTCTGTGTGGTCCTCAGAGATCAACTAACACCTGTTTAGCAGTCAAATGCATCGAGTCTGACACACTGTCCTTCATCTTTGCTTTGCATCCACCTTTCAAATGTTTTGGTGTGTGAAATTTAAAAAAATGTAGGTGCTGCTAAGAAATCTGTGGAAAGCAAATGCTTCCAGCATCGCCACTGGGACAGGACAGTGTCTGGCAGGGATGCTGTAGCGTGTCCTCAGCGCTCTCAGTACTGGGAATAACAGTCTCTGTGCATTTCAGATCCTCAGAAGGAAAACCATCAGAGGTGTCTGTGGGATGTTGACTCTGCTTGGGACTGCTGTACCACTTGTGTTGGATGGGTTGCTCCTGGCACATCATCCCAAGGGCAGCTGAGAAGCCCTGAGCTTTCCACAGCCCTCAGGGCTCTTCCCCACCTGCTGCCATTTGTGAAGCCGGTTGTTGCAATTCAAGTCCTTCACGGACCCATGGAGGAGTTTTAAACTGACCCTGCAGGGAAACTGGAAGAGTTTTAAGCTGACTCTGAAGCAAGTTGTTTCTGATAACCCCCGCAAGGGAGAGAAAGGAGGCAGTGGAAACTGCTATGAATAAAGATAACACGTTGTTCTGTGGGTTTGTTTGGGTTTTTTCTTCTGTAAGGACTTTAGAAATCTGTCACCAGCACACACACACTGAAGGGCAGCACCTCACACACAATGCTGTATGCATGCAAAACCTGCACCTAGCCACTGCACCCCACCTTGCTCTCACCACATCTTCTTAGTCCCAAATAGGGTGAGCCCTGCTGAGAGCATCTAAATTCTGAACGTGAGCTACTTGAGCTATTTATTTCATTAGCTGATATGCCTTATCTGCTGAAAAGCTGAAGTGGGGAGGCCTTGAGAGGAACTTCTGCTATAAAAAGGCACGATCACAGCTACTGCAAAGGACAGATGCTTCAGAATAGTGAGGGTTAGTCCAGCAAATGAAATGTGGAAACTTCTCTGGGAAGTGGACATTCACCAGAATTCAATGAAGCAACCAAGGTGTTTCTCAACACCATGTATTCAGCTGAGGAAATTGCTGACTGATTTTTAAGGAAACATTCCCTATGATGATGATAGAAAAAAAAAATCATCACTAGGTAAGATACTCTTTTCCAAGCCCATTCCAGGATTTTTGGTTGAAGAACTTACCAAGACAAGCACAGAGGTTTTGTGTGCTCTCATTTCATCTGAAAAACCCAGAAAACATATTTTCTTGCAGAAGCATTTGTTCAAAATGGGAATTTCTAATGAGCAGTGGAAGCACAGAGAGAAAATCAAGTTTGCGTCAATCAGCTACGTAAAGAGCCACACTAATCCAATCAGGCACAAAACATCACAGCAAGTGCTGCCTTACACATCCAACTGCAAAATTATTCAATCGCTATCAGCTGCTGCCACTGCTAAGTGGGCACCAGCCCAATGTCATTTGGGGAGCAACCAAAGAAGGAAAGAACCAATAAAAAAAAAAAATTCTGTGCATAGACTGGAGAAGAAATGAAGTTTCATGGTTGTTGCAATTTCATTGAGACACGACCTCTGCCTCTCCTGTCTCCTGGGGCTCCTGGCTAGCCAGCATAGGATGGTTTTACCTTTAAAAACACCTGTGAGCATGCACTGGGCATTGAAGTACTGTGTTTTACCTTGATGAATGCAGCCCATTAGAACTGGAGAAGGGAACTGGACTTGCAAAGCATTTACTGATTTAACAGAGAAGGTGAAAGAAACCATAAGAGAGGGAAAAAAAGAAAGAAAGCTGGCTTAGCCCAGAAGCAGCTCCCAGCCCCAGTTCAGGGAGACCTGGCCTGCAGACATCTCCAAAACATGCTCATCAGAGCAATTCAGGGGTGGTTCATGCAACAGTCCAGATGCAGAAGGCTTAGCACAGCATCTCTTCCTCTGTGCCACAGGAGAAAACAGCTCTTTGCTTGGTGCCCTCCTGCCAACTGCTGGGTCCTCTTCCTTCCCTCTCTGGTCCCCAGCAGGTGTTTTGCAGCATCACGGAGCACATCCCTACACCACGGCTGCCCCTGGCCAGCTCAGGGCAAATATTTGGCTTTGACTCACTCTGGAGGACGGGCTGGGTGAGCCTCCCTGCAGAAGGATGGGCCATCAGGCAGGACAGTCTCAGTAGGACCAAGCCTGGATCTCTGCAAGACCAGAGTTGCAAACAGAGTTGCTCAGCCGAGCCCGTTCTAGGGGTCTGGGTACTTTCAGGAGGAATTTGGCATATCCAGAATGGGGTAGAATTTGGGTTATGGGTTTTCAGAACCTCTGATGTTCTGCCAGCTTCTTAATGGTTGAAATGTCTACTAAAACCACATGAGTGCACTGTGAGTGTCCCCGAGAGGAAAAGTAGGGCAGGCAGCTCCACACAGTTGTCCTGGGCACACCTGGTGGGATCTCACCTACTTCACCAGGTGGTAAGGCTGGGCATAGGCATTTAGAGCTGGGCAAATGCTGCAGCAGCCCCAACCTGCTGGGTGGGTTTAAGCTGGGTTACAGTTTCTAGTCCAATTTTGCCCAAAAAACAGTTAAGAAGGGAAGAATTAAAGCTCATGGGTGCAAGCAAGAGATGGCAAAGGAATGGATGTTGTCTCTCCATAGCTAGAAGATCACCTCAGAGAAGATCAGAGCTATTTCAGTAACCACAAAATATAAAAGTTAGGCTGAAGGCTGCCTAGAAACCTGCCTAGTAACAGAGTGATAAATTAAGTACATCTGCTTATGGTATCTGTACGCAGCAGCTTTACTGGGGTGTTTAGGGAAGGAAAGCTGGGCTTGGCCCTGGTGCAGGGCTCCCTGCTCCCCAGACTCATCCCTGCAGAGGGTCCTCACTACAGCAGCAGTAAAACACCCCCCACCTGCTTTCTCACAGCGCCATGTCTGCAGCATCTGCAAAATTTGGTCCTAATAGGTGTCCAGCAGTCTTCCTAACGTCCTGAACCTCACTAGAATTTCAGTAGTACGGGTTTTTCCTCCCTGTGTTTGTAGCATTAACACTGATTATGTATTTCTTTCACACAGCACTCTCATTACAGTGTTTTAGTTCATTTGCTTTAGTCCATAATTAATATTTTTTGTAAAGCACTTTTAAAATCCCTCCTTTGACATGCTCTGCTCTTATTGTTCCCAGCTCATGTCTGGATTCCATGTTTTGTCACTGTCAGAGCTTCACATGTCTGGTGGGGCATGTCTTTGTCTTTGCATACCCTTGAGTTTAGGGCCTGTCTTTGACTGATAAAGTCTTAGAGCCATTTGCTGAAGAATAAAAACAACTTTTCCTATGGAGCTTTTTTGTCCCCAGAGAATGTCAATACTTGTCAAACATATGAAAGCACAATCCTGTGCATGCTGGAGGGAAATGCAAAATCAATTTAGTCTGTCATAGTCTAACTGCTTTTGGGAAGTAGAAAAATGGGGAAGATGAATGCCAAGGTCTCTGAACTCAAAAATCACCCTCCTTCTCTCACTAAGGTATATTTTCAAGATGCCAGCAAGAGAATAATTTGAAAATTAGTTTATCATCTGTTTCCTCATGTCCATCCTCATATTTTTTGTCATTTTTCTGGGTGGCCTCTGAATACAAGTGTTTCAACCACTAGAACCTGCCAATGGCTGAAAGACAATAAAGCAAGGCTGGCATCTTGCTCTACAAGAGCACAGGAACACAGGAAGTTCCATCTGAACGTGAGGAGCAACTTCTTCACTCTGAGGGTGGGAGAGCACTGGAACAGGCTGCTCAGAGAGGTTGTGGAGTCTCCTCTGGAGATATGCAAATCCACCTGGCACAGTCCTGGGTAATGTGTGCTTGGGGACCCTGCTTGAGCAGGGAGGTTGGACTAGATGAGCTCCAGCGTTCCCTTCCAGCCTTACCCGTTCTGTGATCTCTCAGGAACTCTTTACTCCTCTTGCGCTCGAGGAAATCAAAAGGTGGCAGTTGTATCTCACCGGCTGAGGCATCCCTGCTCCCTGCTGAAATTTCCCATCTCCTACAGGCGCCTGGAACTCCGTGGCCACTGGGTGTCAGCATCTGTGCTTGGACGCAGAGGAGGAGGAGGAAAGCAGGTGCAGCATCGGTGCCGCCAGAACTCAGCGCTTAGTGCATGAAAGTAAAACAGAGGGGATAATGGCTCTGTCACCGTCAGAAAGGAGTCTTGTTCCTTTTGTGTTGCTAAGTGAAGAAGTGTCACACCTTTGTTCCATCATCCAGCTCTGGGCTGATTGCCAGGTAACATCACCTTGTGCCTTGTGGCACCCTGACCATGTCCCAGCGCTGCTGCTCTGACCAGAGCTGTGACAACCAGGGCATGTGCCAACCAAAACCAGCCCCTGCCTCTCCCCCCACGCTCATGCCACTGAGCACCCCCAGAAATATCACACCAGCTCGAACTGGAGGCCCTGCTGGGTGTCCCTGCCTCACTCTGGCACCAGCTCCTGCACCCTCTCAGTGTCTCACTGCAGAGCCAAGGCTGCCCAGGGAGCCTGGGATATGGGCTGTGCCACCAAGAGGTCCCCACCTGATACATGAAGCCCACAAGGGAATAGTCCTTGCCTTTTAAATGATAATGTTCCAGCTCTTAACTGTTGAACTGGAAATATGTCCCAGCCTTTGGGACTCTCAAATTGATCGTGGCTGCCCAGAAGTTTGTGCCCCTCATGCCAATTTATTTAGAAACGCTCATGCTAAGAAAACAATAACTCTGTTGCCTGCCAGGTTCAGGAGAGTCCACTTTTAACAACAGAGAGCTTAAAAGGCCAACAGCACAATTTATTTTACTGAAGCAAGAGCATGAAGTTCCCAGCTACAGCAACAAAGAAAAGCATTAAAAACATAAGACAGTGCAAGCACAAAGCAGGCTCAGTCCTGAAAGCTGCTCACCAGTGTTTTCTCAACAACATCAGATAATGGCAGCCCCAGCAAGGGCATTACCTCAACACTGTGGCTCTCCAGAGCACATGAAAATGCTGTTGCAGGTAAATAAAACATACTTACAGGACTGCATGCAGTCAGGCTTGGGCTGGCCAAGCTGGTTGATTCTGGATGCTTCCACGAATGCAAGTGAAATATTGCTTCATACAACTGGGGGCTGGGAACACACAGCCTTCACGATCCCTCGGCTTCACGTTGTCCTGTTTGTGGGAGATGCACTGACTTGACACGGCCTTGCCTGCCTTCCTCCAAAATTGTGTTGTCATTTTTCAAGGCTCTTGCCAGGACTTATGGAAGGACCATAACCTAAAAATAGTGTTCTTGCTTCCAGATGTTTTTTTTCCTCCCACACTGGGATGTGTCACTGGGCAGGTCCTGCTGTGCAGATGCCTGGCTTGGTGCCTGAGCTCTGCCAAACGGGAGGCTGAGGACAAAAAAGGGCTGAGCTGGGCCCTCCTGCTGTACCTCTAGAGCATAAATTCCTGTGTGAATGCAACACCTGAGCCCTCAATAAGCTTTTCAGTTGCTGTTACTGCTGCCTCAGCAGGAAGTGCAGTCCCAAACCTGGAATACCCCGCTTGTTAGAAACCTACTTTTAATTCCTACCTTATTTCTACCCTTTCTGTATACCAATGTTTTCCTCTGGCCTAAATAACTTGTCCCTGCTTATCCAGAACAAGCACTCCCTGTTATCCTGATGCAGAGCTTGCTTTGCCCCTCTTTAGCTGCTGGAAGGAACAAGCCAGGCTTTCTGCTCCTTCTCATTAACAGGGCTCTCTCTGCCCCTGCCTTGACTTCTGTCCCCGCACTGTGCCTGTCACCAGGGCTACTGCTCAGGCCCAGCACACACTCCCACCTATTTTTTTAAAGCAGAAATGCCAACTAACTACAGAGCAACAGGTAATCACATTAATTTACCCTCCAGGAGTAAAGTTCTGGGTAAGAAAAACCACCGTTTGCCGAGCACAGTGTGCTGCGTCACCCGCAGTGGGGCACAGGGGGAGGAACTCATCCCAGCACCTTGCTGACTGCCACCACGGGACACACTGGGGGAGGATGCAGGCAGTTTTCTCTTCAGCAACACCTAGAGAAGGTGCAAGAGAAAAAATGGTCACTTGGGGGCCAGCCCACCTGTGTGCCAGCCATGTGGCTGAGCTGCAAAAAGAAGGGAGAGGAGCACTTAGGTGAGGGGACCAAACCTTGCCATGGCTTCCTGGGTGAGACACTGCAATCCATGGATCCTATCTGAAGACATTTTGGGACATGTGCCTGTAGGGAAGGAACCTCCAGCACAGCTGAGATCTCTGCTGGGCATTTGCACTTACCTGTTGCTTTCAGCAGTGTCATGATCTTCAGGAAGTGCAGGCCCAAAAGGAGGGGCACTGAAGTCTTCCTCCCCAAAATGTCATAGAAGAGCTGTTCTAGCTGCCAGTCAGGGAAAAGGACCCTGATTAAAAGTTCAGTGTCTTTGATGAGCATCTGTCACTGGCATCCACTGGTCCTTCTGCAGGAGAGACAGGGACATCAGCAGCACACACAGACGTAAAGTTGCTCTAAGTTTTAACAAATGCAACCATGCAGTGGTCTAAGAGGCACTAGTTTACACTAGTATAAATTGGATAATTTGGCTGCATTTTAATTAAAAATTAATTTCTCCAATTTATACAATTCAAGCACAGGGAAGTTCAGAACAGTGGATTTAACATGCTTCTGTGTGGTGCTACACGATTCATTTTTCAAGTCACCTAGCCGCCAAGTGTTGGTACCCACTCAAGTCACAAAGCAGCAGCTGTCATCCCAGGACACTTCTGGGGAAATTGCATTTATCTGCTAAGAGATCTTTTGGCTTTTTGGGAAGCAGAACATAAGATGACATTCATGAGGGATGTAATTGCTCCACAGTCTCGATTTTCCACAATAATTTATCATCCATTGGCTGCATAATTCTCTTGCTGTCATCACCCCAGAGCAACCAGAGTTACTGGACCTGTGTCACCACTACATGCTTACTCACTTGCCAGGTCCCCTACAGATCCTTGAAGCTGTGGCCCAGGAGGACAGGCTCTTACAACCTTTTCTGTGTTTGTAGTGCTCAGCAAAGGGTGAATCCCACTGGGCATAGTGCCGGGACATGCTGTGCCAGGTCCTAAAACAAGCACTTTCTTGGAGGGATTATGAAGGAGGGCTGCCCAGAGCAGAAACCCTGCTGCTGCCAGACTCTCTCCCCATGACACACCCTCCTGCTGTCAGCAGAACCTACGATTTAGGACAGTTTTAAGGAAAATATTTCTGTGTGTAGCTCACGCACTTGACCGTTTGTCAAAGATGTTGTGGTTTGGTTCTTCAGTCAGTGAGTGTGCCTCACTGCATCGATTGTCTGTCTCATACAGATCTAAAATCCCTCACCTGAAGACGCTCCATCTCCATGATGTTTTGGGATTGCAACCTCCCTGCACAGCCGAGAGGGAATAACACATCACTTAGATATTTTGCTGACTTCTGACAGCCTCATAGCACAGGATTCAGTTGTGGGTAAAAGAAAACATGCAGAAGACCTGAGACTTAAAGAAAAAATGATGGAGAGACAGAAGAGTCAATAACAACTTCATGGTTAAAAATGAAAAAACAAAACCATTTTTTGATACCTACACTCACCCACACTAGAACAGCCCACGTTTCACAGTGACACTTACAGGTACATTTGATCTCCCCATCACAGGTTTTCTCCCCAGCTTTTCAGCCCCTCCCATCTTTTCAAGGGAAGACTAGAGTGTGATGACATCTCCTGTGGCTCTCTGGGGTTTCTGGGATGTGTGTTCATGTGCACAGATGTGTACATGTATCTCATCTGCCCATCTCTGTCCTTCTGCTGCACCTGCCCAAGGCTTGGCAGTCTTTGCCTGATTTTTCCCAGGAAAAAGCTTCTAATGCCTTTTCCACCCCAGTCTGAAATGGAGACAAAGCCAAGTGCAGTTCTTGGCATGCAGCTATCCTAATGATACTGTGACACAGGGAGGAAACCCATCCAAGAGACATCTGCTCATTTATCACATGACAGGCACTGCTTTTGGAACACCAGATTAGCATAACTTGTCTGCCACAGTATCAGACACTCTTCAGCAGCTCAAAGTTAAACAACATTTCTGCAGAGCTCCATGGGTTTGCTATTTTTTCTTTAAAGTATGTTTCCCCTTTGGAATTTGGGTCTCCATATCCAGGACCCTCATGACTCCAGCACATTAGATGCTGACTGGGAAGGGAAGAGCATTGGGCACAGTTCACAACAGTGAGGAAAATCTCTGCAGGGCTCTCCAGAAGAAAGGCACTAATGATTAACATGAGTGTCTCTGTAGAGAAAACAGCATGAACCACACTGTTCACACTGACTACTCACACATCATCTAACATTTACCTCTTCAAATTATCACTCAGATAAAAACTACTGCAGACTCATAGTCATTATGACAATAGAGAGCCATGCTGAGGTGGGATGCCTCGAGGCTCCTCAGCATTGGCTCTGAATCATGTTCCCTCCCAGATGCTACAGCCTCTGGGTAGCTGCTCTTATCTTCAGCAAGCACAGGACTGAAGGAGAGGCCTTCTTCTCAAAGCACAGTCTCTGAGGCATGCAGAGCTCCCCAAAGCCACCCCATGGGTGCTACACCCCAGATTGGCTGTGTGGGGCAACAGGTCACAGACATGGATGAGCCAGCTCAAGCCTAGAAACCAGGTTGCCCACAAGGCTTTGTGCCTGACTACATGGCCAGCCTTGATTCTGACCTCTAGTGGGGAAGCCCCTACAGCCCAGGAAGCTGCTGGTTCTGTCCTGGGATGCCCCCAAGAGCAGACTGCCCGATGCCAGTGAAACAAGGGGGTGTGTTTGCTGGGTGGGAGCCTCTGTGTGTGTGCTGTCCCACGGGCAGCCTGCCTGCACAGCTCCATCTGGTTTGGGAAACAAAGCAAACAACACAGCCCACGGCACCATTTCCAAGGAATTGTTGTCACTTGCTCAGTCCAAACTCAAAACAAAACACCACCACCCACACTATTTGTAAGACAGAACCATACCTGAGCTCAGATTTGAGGACACACAAAACTTCCAGCAAGTACTCACGTCAGACAGCCCCAGGCAGGGTTTCTGGAGGCACCCCAAGGTTAATGGCTACATCTCAGGAGAAGCAAAACTGCTGTGGGGACAACCTGACTTTGGTTAAGTTTCAGAGAACTAAATTAATTCTTCAAATTGACATAATTTAAAAAATGTAATTTTCAAGGGTTATTCCCGGAGGGAGCCATTTGAAGAGGGGGAATAGTCTATCACCACTTTTGTATTTATCAAGTTTTGGGGTTGGAAATGTTGGGATATCTGCTGACAGTGATTTCTGAGATTCAGCATCTGTGGGCCATACTTCAGGTATACATCCTTATCCTTGTTTTTTGTTGCTTGCTTGTTTTTTTGGTGAGGACATATTTTAATTGGGGACAGAGGAAAGAAAGAGAGGGCACATTTGTTTATTTATTTTCTGATAGACCATGGAGAAAAAAAAAAATTAAGAATGATTAAACCAACAAACTCTCTTTAATAAATTAATAGCAGCATCACAAAACCCTGATGTGAATGACCCAAAGAAAGTTGGGTACGTGACAGTATATAAACATTCACAAAAATGTTGTCACCCACTGGCTGGGAGAGAACACGAGGCGCTGTCAGGCAGCACCCTTGGCTGTTCATCCAAACAAGGGCTGTACATCAGAATGGGTCCAGCTGTGTTGACATATTTACAGTTCTGGTGCTGAATTTTTTAAAAACATTTATAAAAATTCTGAAAATTCTCTGTTCAGTTCCCATTTTTTGCATCCAAATATAGCAGGTTCCCTTTTTTGCCCATACAACAGAACCGACAAGGGTAAGACATGAAGGCTCCTATGCAAAGACAAGGCCTGTGTGTAGACTTATACTGAGCTCAGGGATGCTGTGAAAATGAGTTATTCACTCATTATTTACACATGCTAGAAGCTACTGTAATTCAACTTATTGCTAAATGCTTTCAAAGTCTGTGGTTGGCTCTTAAATATATATATATGTGTATATATATAAGTACAAACTCACACATATATATACATACACACATATACATGTTTGGAAAAGGTGTGCTATAATTCACTAAAGGAAAAAAAAAACCAACTTAAAAAGCAATGTGATGGTTCTGATTTTTCTGTACTGTTTGAGATAATGAAATCTGACTCAGGGTAAAGAGAAGTCACTGAAGGACCAAATTTGTGCCTCTGGCCAGTCCTTTTCCTACTGATTACCTGACATTTTTGGAGAGGCAAGCAGACTCCAGAGCATTCAACCCATGCTGGTATCTGCAGGCCGGCACATGGAGCATCTCTGCTGCCTTCTTCAAGCAGCAGAGGCTTAGGATACCTCTGCACTGGGATACCTTGTCTGCCTGCATGGAAGTACTACGGATTATTCCCAGGAGGGGATGAGGGAGAAAAGAGGACCATCTTCAACACATCAGTCTGGGGTCAAGCCAGCAGCAGAGACAACTCCTGTGTTGTGTTTTAGTAGTGGCCTCAGCAAGGTTGTTGCTGCACACAGCAGTGCAACAGCAGTTACCTAAAGCATTAGCAGAATTTTCTGTTTCTTCTAGAAGGTAATTTTAATGGAATGAACACAGCAAGCTTAGAGTACAAGCAATTCATGTTAATAAAATGCGATTTAACCATGCCCAGTGTAATGTTCTCTGTTCTGATGATTATCATAGCCAGAGGCTGTCAGTGATGCTAAATGCATCCATGTTAGATGGGCACTGCAGCATCTGTGTAGTAGTTAATGAAGATATAAAAACCTTATGGGTGATATCTGGCATTAGACAATACTCCACACAAGGAAATTTGCATGAGAGGCATCACCCCAGAGGCACAGTGCCAGAAAGACACAGTGCCTTGGGGACTTCGTGTACTCAAGAACACAGAGGAAAATTAATTCAAATTGTACCTGGTGTGTATTAAAAGCAGATTACTTAAACTGCATTCCATCCCAATGTGGATGCTTTCATTAAAGATATAAGTGGTGTTAATATGATACACCATAATTTACTTTGGGAGTAAAATGGAATATTTCAAATTTAAAAATTAATCCAGATTAATATTCCCTGTAGACTAGCTCCAGGTCTGCTTCCTTCCTGTCCCTAGTCATCATTTGCTTTTGAACCCTGCCACCAGCAAATGATTCCAATCACATGCTCTGCTCAGCTCTGCCCACCCCGTCCTGAGGCAGGAGCAGGGACCTTCACTTGAGCCTCTCCCCCAGCATCCCCAGGCAGGTCCATCCTGCTCCTCACAGCTTGACCCCGGTCAGCACCACACACAGAGCAGCCTCTGCTCTACACCAAAAGCAGTGTTCTACCACCAGCACTGTGAGTCCCAGGATGCTGAAAAATGAAAGTCAGTGCTAGCAAGCTAAAGAATAGCTAGATGTGAGGACCCAGAGGGCCAAAGATCTGGCTCTTCCAAAGCCAGAGTGCTCTTCTGCAGGTCAGCCAAAGCCCCTGATCCTCCAGCAGCGTGTGAAGGCAGTGCACTGAGCACAGCCTGCTCCATCCCAGACCTCATGGGTGTCTGAAAGACCAAAGGAGGGCTTTTTACAAATCTGAGGCCTTCCATTTATAGAATAGTGGAAATAGAGAACTTTGTCTCTCATGCTTCTTCTCCAAGTCTGCAAGTGATCCCAGCCAGGACTGCAGAACCACACCAGAACTGCATTCCCTACCTTCCCTAGGGGAGCCAGAGCCTCCTGTGCAATGGAAAGAAAACAGCAGGGTTGGAGAGGGAGCCAAAATTTAGCAGAGGACCCCTGAAGTGCAAGATTGACCCAGTATGGCAGCAAGACACAGGACATGTCTGGCCAGGTGCCTGCACGGCCACTACGCTCTTGTGGTGTCTTTCTGCCAGGTTTCTGTAAAGTCTTTACACGGCACAAATAGGGGTGAGGATTTAAAGTATATATTTACTGTCAACTTGAAAAAGAAAGTTATACTGACCAAGTCTAATAGCATGTATTTGATATATAACTATTAACGTGCCATTCTGGACTCCAGCAAATTCCACCTGAGATAAATATTCAGCATTTTTGTTCATGCACTGGAAGAAGAATTCAAACATTTTGTCCATGACATATGCAGAGTAACTAATAGTTCTGATCTATTAGTAACAGTAAATATAGAACCTTAAACTTCACTGCAGTATATTAATATATATGATTTTAAGTACTGGACTGGAAAGACAACTCTTTTTTTTCTTTAAAAAAAAAAAGCTTTGTTCAGAATGCAATATTTACATTGTCCTTTGAGCGACACTTACATTTTTACACAATGTATTTTGGCTACAGATACACCGTAGCAAAAGGCTGTGTGAGTCACCCTTACACACAGCTCACTCTTTCGCTTACAACATTACAGCTGTTTATGGAGAGCTCCGAAGTCCCTGGTTGCAGTTCCAGGCCCTCCTCAGCTTCTAGTTCCATGCTGTTGAATTCATTGCCATTTCGATAACTAGTTAAAGTCAGATCTTTCCCGTACAAAGCTGTCGAAGCAACATTCAGACACTGATTCTGCCGCAGTGCTGATTTTTTGCCGGGCTTGTATTGGCAGCGGATGTAATTGGAAAAAGCCCTGCGGTAGGTTTTGTTGAAGAGTGTGTACACCAGGGGATTAACCCCCGAGCAAACATACCCCACCCAAACAAACACATCAAGCAGTTCACTCAAGAGGTCTTTGTCGCAGGCTTCCTTGCAAAGGACAGACATGACATTAGTGATGAAGAACGGGCACCACATGATGAGGAACAAAAAGAAGACGATGCCCAGGACCTTGGAGGCTCTTCGCTCGTTGTTGATGGACTGCATAGTTCCTTTCCTGAAAAGCACTGCCTCCTTATTTACAGGGGAGTTCAAGTGAGATGCCCCCTCGTGATTGTGAAGCATTGAAATGTTCTCTGTGTTGTTTTCCTTCTTGAGGCAGTTCACACTGCTCCTCCTCTGCTTGGGCACCTCTCCACACATGAACACCGTCGCCTGTCTCTGCAGCACCTGGACGGTCAGGCAATACGTGATCACCATGATGATGAGAGGGATGAAGAAAGCCATGAAGGATCCAATGAGGATGAAGTTCTCATCGTTGAGGACACAGGTCCCGTTTACAAACACTCTGGAGTCATCCTGCAAACCGATGACCGGAATAGGCATAGATAACCCTAGAAAAATGAAACCAAAAAAGAGACTGTTACCTGGATGGATGGACAGGGCTCCAAAGAGGCAGCAGAGATGATGCAGGCCCTGTGTGCATTCAGATCACACTGCCTAAAGCTTTTTGAAAGGGAAGTTACTGCTTTCAAGGGGAAGGGAAAACCTCATTAAACAGCACTCCTGGGAGCACAGCTCAAAGGGAATGACACCCTCCTCCGGGAACAGCAGCAGTTTTGCTGTGCTCCACAGTTGACTTAGTGAATGCAGCCCAGCTCCTACATGGAGTTATTTTTCTAGCATTACTTGCAATTTCTAGGTGGAGAAAAGGCAGTCACTACCCTGCTCTGTGCCCAGCTGGCCACTCCATACCAGTCTGAGGGGTTTTTGAAATCACTGACACAGGGTAGAGTGGAGCAAATTTTACAGAGAAAAATTTTCAAAATCCAAAAGAATTACAGCTATGAAGATTTAAAAGCAAGTTTCTTTAAGAAATTAAAATAATACTGATTAAAAAATCGCCACTCTTGCCATGTCCTCACAGGCACATGGAAGTAAAACTCCTGCCTTTCTGGGTTCTTATGGACTCCCTCAGTGCAAGCAGACAATGGTCTCTGCAAGATCAAAATCCAATATTTTTCATGTGTTCTGAGATCCAAACTTTGTCCCTTGATCTGTGAAGCTCAGTCCAACACCAGGACAGACATGAAATATTTCCAAAATCAACAATATATGCTGGAATATTGCATCCTGTGTGTACAGGAGAACCTGGAAAAGATGTGGTGGGCCTGTTCTAGTTAGACCATCATAGGTTCATCTATTCTTGTCTCATGTCTTTGACCGGTGCCAGAAGTTTAGGGCCATGATACAAAAGGGGACAGCTCTAAGTGTAATAGCTTAAAAAATTCCAAACCAAGAATTTGCATCCATATCTCATTTTTAAAATGGCTTTTCAGAGATTTATTTTCCATGAATCCTTGATCTCGTTTCTGGCTGCACAATTCTCAGTGGCCTTCAGTTCCCCAACCCACCTGTTTGTCATGTGAACAAAGTAATTCTTGCTCATTTTATGTTTGCTACCTGACAATTTCCTTTGATTCCCATAAGTTCCTCTGCTGTGAGAAACAGCAAATAATCACTTTCCAGTCACCTTTTCCACCTTCTCAGTGATTTTATAGACCTGTTATCATCTCTCTTGTCTGACATCTCTTTTGGAACTGAAGAATACAGTTCTGTTCACTCTCTGTCCTCATACCAAACTTATTCTATGCCTTTGATTATCTTTCTCCATTTCTTTTTAAGTTCTTTTCTATCCTTTTTAAGAAAGGAAAAAAACCTGCATATCCAAGCAGTTAGAGAGCAATAGAGTGTCTTCTGTTCTCCCCTCTGGCCACCTGGCTGTCATGGAGCACCTACTCCTCAGACACATCTGTGGGGCTGGCCATGCCCTTCCTTAGCTCCTTCACCCAAGAAATAATCCACACTGAAGCCACTGGTGGGCCTGGATTAGGTTTTTTTTGGAGTTACTGTGAATAGCACAGGTCACAGAGCTAATCCTGTGGAACTCTGAATTTCTAAATGGGAAAAGTAACATGCTAAAGAGATTAACCAGGGCATTTTTCCCACTCCAGCTAAGTGTTTTCCAGGATTCTGGAGAATTCATCTGCAGTTTGTCATTACCATAAAATTACCATGTGCCAGTAAGCTAGTGAAAGAATTTCTTCTGAAAAGTAATGGTTATAAATGCCTTCTGTGATTCTACCATGTGTCTCCTTAGCTCAGACATTAGTTCTAAGATTTGCTCTTCTCTCCCTCTACATGCCAGTGTTTACCAGTTTACCCTTGGCAAGGCAGTTGTCTCCTTTTCAGTATGTTAACCCCTGTTACCTCTCCTGTGCCAAATCCCTGTGACCGCAAAACCCTTCATCCCATCAAACCATTAAATCATGAGATTTAATCATTAAATCATCATTAAAGACACCATTCTAATGCCTTGGCTCCATCAAAACACAGACATCTGGGAAATGGTGGAACTTGGATACTGGTAAAGCAGTCTCTACACAAAGATGAAATCTGAATTAAATCAATGGCATTACACTGGGATTACATTTGCATGAATAATTTTATGCTTTAGTGACCTCTATAACACCCACCCTTTGAAATACTCCAAAATGAATACAAGTTCATTCATGAAGTAGTCATCATTTAGTTTACTGTTATTGCTTTAGCCAAGGGAAATCAGATGAGGCTTTGGGATATCTTTACATATAAAGTGGAATTTATGTGACACCCATAAAGTACATATGGGAAGAATAACCTGGTTCTGGGATATGATGAATACACAAATCAAGAGCACTGATGGCAGCCTAAAACTCTGCATGAGCATGAGATACCTCAGCATTGATGACAGGCAGTAGGAAGAAAGCAGCAACAGGAAGAAAGATGCCCTCAGATAAGCTGCCAACACACTTTGATTCAGCTGTCAGCCAGCATCCAGCACTGCTGAATGGGCAGCACTGCCCTCATCTCCAGTGCTTTCTTTCACCTCACACTTCTCCTTTGTAACTCATTCTTTAATACATGATTTATCACTGATCCACTGCACAATTGAGCCTGAAAGGGAACTAAGACTGGGCACACCCTGGGCAACAGGAACTAACTTGACACCCCCCCAGTAAGTTAGAAGTGACTGTGGAAGGTCTCAGACACCTCAGAAGGGCTTCCTTCATGGGGGATTACTGCAAAAATGCTGCTGCCACAATCCCAAATGCAACAATACCTGCTTGCAGACACAGCTCACACCCTGGCCCTGGTTTCAGTAGGGGTACATTGCTCAGCCCATGCTGTGCTTACCACCAAGGATTCCATGGTGCCTGGGCACGAATGCCTGCCTGATTTGAGCTCAGCTGTTAGAACAGGATGGAGAAGGCATCCAGCTTCACTTGACTCAAGCAACCCACAGTACGAACAAAGCAGTTTTAGATGTTCATAACTTAGGAACTAGGTCAGAGAATGCCAAACTCGCTACAACAGTGAGGGTGAGTGCCTAATCAGGCAAGAGGCTCTGAAGCCGACTGCTGCCCACAGCCTTTCTCCTGCACAGCTCTGAGCCCAGTGCAGAGCATTTCATGAGTTTTTGCCCAACACACTCTTCATCAGCAGACTTCAGGCTGATTCAGTGAGCTGAGTTCTCCAGCCTCGGACATATTTTCCAGTTGTATCAAATAACTTTCTAACGAAGCTGGCAGCGAATTCCCCAAGAAAGGCAGGGCTGCTCCAAAAACTTGCATTGTGAAAGTTTTGCAAGCTTATTCCATATCACACTTTGCTCTTCAGAGCAAACTTGGTCCTCTTGTTTGGTATTTGAGCAGTGCCCAGGGCAACTGGTTTTGCCCCAGCAAGAAGAGACAACAGCCACCACCAGCCAGTGAGCCAAGAACCAGGTCCCTGCTAGACTAAATACTAGGAGCTCTGTGCACCTTCTGCCAGGCAGCAGCTTGAGCAGGATATCCCTTTTCACCACACCACAGAAAATGGATGTGATTTTTTTCATCCTATCTCCTCTTTTAGCTTCTGTCTGGCAGAGCAGCAGGAAGCAAGACAGAGAGATATCCTCTGGATTACAAATCCAATTACAACTGTTGTCCTAACTGCTTCTTGTCAGCTTTAAAGATGTCCTCAAGCCAGCAGAACGATTCACCAAATGGGGCTGAGATGATGCTGTGGACACAGAGCAACAGATGCTCTTTACAGATTCTCCATTAATAAAACAAAACCCAAATGACTAGAAATACGTGTTTGTAAAACCTGTACTCGTTGCAGAGAAAAAGCTGGTTAAAAAGTCCAAATTGACATTCCCAGGATTTAGACTTAAATTAAAAACGATACAGGTTTTGTGTTTAATACCTTGTTTTCTGCAATGAAAGACCATGAGATTGATAGAGATTACTGAAGAGATGTGGTCTTTGATGGTTATTTCCACTAAGAATATCTTCCTACAAGAAGATATTTCCTCCAGGGACAACCACCTCACTAAAGAAAACAGGGATCTCATGATGCAGGTGGACTTTGGACCTCAGTGCCATCCTCCTGGTGCTTACAGACAATTTAAAAGAAAAAAGCAGAGAGAAATCTGTGTGCCAAACAAGCCTATGGCTGACACAGATGCAGTCTACACTGCAAACTCAAGAACACTGGGAAACACTGCATGTTCAAATACATATCTTTAACCTCATATTTAAACAAATATAAACAAAAAATAAACTTTGTACTTAAACTAAAACAAATCTGTTTGGTTTCTTAACAGAAGTGTCTCACAAAATGCCTGATTCAGACAGTGAGTAGTAAACCCCAACAGCCTCCTGACTTGCACTGTGTAAAAAAAGGCACTGGGGTCAGGAAGCAAAGCTCTTCAGATGAAAATCAAAGAATGTGCTGAAGTGTTCCAACCATTAATGTCTTTCATTGCTAGTGTTGCAACAAGGTGCCTTCAGGGCTGGATTAGGTCTAGTTTTTTGTAACCATTCTAATAAAGCAACAGTGCCTGCCTTGTATTGGTTTAAAGTCAAATATAAAGGGGCTAAACTTTGAAGGATCTCCCTGCCCACAGCAAGCACAACTGCAAACAGATGAATGTCATTACTGACTGTGCCTGAACAAGCTGTTGACCTTTACTTAAGCCTTGGGAGAGCACTGAACAACCCAGATGGAAAAACAGCAAAAAACCACTATAGGACAGAAGAAATAAATTATTTTCCCACCTGCCCTTCCACTTTGCTAAATTACTTCTCTTGGTTTGCTCAGCCACATCTTTCCAATGGTACATTTGACCACAGACAGAGCCCGTCTGCGTGGTGGGACAGGTTTGAGCGAAGGCCCAGGAACACATTTTGACTTTTCATTTACTGCCTTCTTCATTAGCAGTGGTTTTGCCTTGTTTTTTGTCATGGCACATGTCCAAAGGTCTGTGTGCTAAGCAGGGCCTGAAGCCTGGAAAGAAATTTCTGTGTGTGTGTTCCTGTCCCAAGATGCAGTCCCTCAGCTACCGCCCGGCAGGGAACTGAGGGTGCTCGGGAGCAAACACTTCTCATCAGCACATGTGCCATGGAAATGCCTGGCTGAGAAAGTCACTGATCTGAGAGACACAATGATGGGCAGAAATGCAAATCACAACCCTAAACATGCTCTGAAACCATGACCCAAAGGAGGCTACATGAGTTACTCCAGTCACCCTTTACCTCCACGCACAACCTGCTCCTAGTCTGTAAGGAGACTACAACTCCTTTTGCATCAGTGGTGCCACTCCAAGCACATTCCTCAAACTGAGGATTATCTCCAGCGAGGCAGGAGAAGGCTTGATTTGTACCTGGAGGCTCTTTAAGGACGTCATTAGGACAGCTTTCATGCATGAGGCTGCTCAGCTGTGTGAGAGAACACCCAGGGCAGAAACAAAACACTGTTAGACATAAGACCACTTAATCTGAGATGAGCATTTACTGATCCTCACAGCACACGTCTTTCATACTTCTATAAATAGATCACCTCAATAAAACAATGTAGTAGTATGAAAGTTAAACGGGGATGTGAATTTCTTTTTAAACATGAATAGTTTATTTTATACACAAAACCCTCAGTACCTACCTGAAATCAGAATTATCATATCGTTAGTGAGTCAGAGAAAGAATGAAAATGTTTTCAAACACACAAAAAAAGACATGTGGGGTCTGCTTATGGCACTGATACAAAGAGCAGAATTTAAAGGATGGCCTCATCTCAGTCACTTATCAAGTAAATTGAATTTACCTTGTTACTAAGGATGTAAAACTGTGAGCTGGAAAATTGGTAGCATGTGTAATTTCGGCGCTCTCTAGTAAATGACCAAACCTTGAACTTACTGGGAAGCAGAGGAAAAACTCTTCTGTGCTAGCAGGCATACAGCTGGACCACAAGAAACCTCAGAATTAAAACAGTTTACTTTTTTTCATATCAGAGGCAATGTGTGTGCATCTCCACATATTTTGTTTCATTTAATATTACCCAGTTAACACTCTCTCCTGTATGACATGGTGTGCACTTAGGGTTTGAGTAGTTCCTCATCACTCCTCCTGAGCACTGCAGGGGGGTCTCCACTCACTGCCAGAGTGGCCCAAAGCCACCCTCCTCAGAGCAGGACAGAGGGAATCCTGTGGGATGGTCAAGTCCACGTGTTCGTTGTGAAAACTTTGAAACTGTGCAAAGTCTGAAATCTTGAAACAATGCCAAGATTCCACCAGCAGGCTCACGCCTAAAATTGATTTCCGATATTTCTGTTGCCTACATTTCTATTTCCAGCCTCAGCACAGTGCTATCTATCACAAAACTCATTTTTACAAGCCCAGCCCTCCACAGCACCTACTTTTTCTCTAACTGAGCACAAAAGTCTTGCTCAAGTTACATTTGCTAAAGCACAGGACAACTGGCTGTGATGTACTTAAATCTGGAACAAAGAGGACTTGGAAAAGACCCATTCATGAAGAAATTGTCAACAGACTAGAGGACTCTGTTATGTTCCCCTGCTTAAAAACCTAATCATAGGTTTAGGCTTGTGCAACTTGCCAAATTTGTAGCTCAATGAGCAAAGAACCTCTTTTAAATTTTGCTGCCAGCATTAACATTTCAGAAAAATGGAATGCAAGAGCTACCAAATTAAGATAAATTACATGCTTTTCCCTTCTTATTCTGAATTCTGATTCAGAAACTGAATTCAGGATTCTTTACATGGAATGCATTTCCAAGTCTCTTCAGCTGAAGCAGTGTTTATGCAAACTGACCATCCTGCACTTAAGTGCTGCTTCGAATTTGCTCCTTAATCACACACAAAAATGCACAAATTCTTTTGTGATACTTAACACTGAAGTGAGGATTTACTTAACCTATTTCATCCTCTTGAAAATAGCATGGGATTTCATCAGACCTTTCCTAGTTAGGAGCCAGAAAACAGCAACAACGCACTTTTGGTAAGTTCTCTTTCATTCCATGCTCAGTTTATTCCTGTGTCTGTCACATTTCTAAATCCATTTATGAAGTAAATATAGTTATGCTAAAATAAGACAGATACATACCAAGAATACTTTTCTTTCTCCATTTAATCCAACCTCCTAGAGAAAGCCTGAGTAAATGAGTGAACCCTATCATATGCACTGGGGAGAGTGGAAATCCAACCACATTTCAGTGTCCTGAACAGTCTCTCAGGGAAATATTGATTCTGCCTGTATCTTCAGAAAAAGGGATGCAGCCAAAGACTCTCCTGGGCCAGCTTGTCTGCATCAAAGAGAACCAACAAAATCTAAACAAGTCCTAGACATGCTTTACATCTCCCAGCTGTGATCCCAACACAGGAGGGCACACAGGTACAGCTGCAATGTGTCTCCCCAGCCTGGGGAGGGAAGTGCTAAAAGCTTTGTGCACTGCAGACACCTCACTGAGCAACTGCTCACAGCTTCTTCCTGAAGATTTTTGGATGCTGGGGAATAACTGCAACATCCATTGCCTTATGGAGGGCTGACAAACTGTGTGCTCACAAAAGAAAAGTGCCATTCAATCTTCTTTCCAAGCTATGCCTTTTAGCCTTCATTATTTCAACCAGTTTCACATTCTATCATAAATACATAGTTGTTAAACATCTCCTGAGAAAGCTGGGCAGGGGGGAGGTGTTGGGACTCTACAGCAACACAAAGTCACCTTACCTAGCCTGGATTAAGTACTTTTTTCTCCAGGGTACAGTAGAGTCCATAATGTGCCTATTTTCCATCATCATGAACCCAATCCCCACCAAATAACTCCAGGAACAGATGGGTCTATGGCAGTCTTTACATCTGTTTTGTCAGGCACCATATTCTCTTACAAGTCTGCTTACTGAGTAAACCATGCATGAAGTACTTCACCCCTTGGACCCATTGTCCAAACCACAGCTTGGTCCTCAAGGCACTACCACAGGCAGCCACCTCCAGCACTAGCCAGAGTTTCTAAGGGTGTGTCTGCAACATCTGAGAGAGCACAGGCAGAAATCTGCAAGTTAGCTCCAAAAATGGAAACAGAAGCCTTATTGATGAGATTTTGCAATGTACTACTTAATGCTGCTGATGGATTTATACATCTCTGCTGGGGGGATGTCTGTCAGCTGCTCCCTCTGCCTTACAGTGGAACATGGAATTCTGTGCTGATCCTGGACTTTCCTTGCAAATCGAGCCCAAGCATCCCACATGTGAAGTTGTTCACAGCTCATGTGCTGAATTCAGCAGCTCTCTTTCCCATGCCAAATAGACAGCACAGAGAGTTTAAAAGAATAATAATATAAAAAAAAATCTTAAATGAATTGATTAATCCAATTTCACTGTGGATTGTATTACCTAGAGGAAATGAAGCAGGCTTGTGACACATGAAAATTTGTTTTTAATAGACATTATATACGTGAGGAGAGAACGTATATTTCCCCCAATATTTTTTTTCTCTTTTACATAGCGTTTTTCCAAGGCAAGCTTCCCCAAAAAATGGTCCCTGCAGCACCCATACAACCAGTATCATATTCCACTTCTAAAGCAGGCTAAAACTCAAGAGAAATTCAAGCACCTGAAACATGCTTTTCCTTGCAGTACAGCACTGATAGCGAGGAACGCTTTATAAAATAAAAATTAAATGTTAAATCTTTGTAAGACTGCATTTTACTCAAGCACAGAAGGCAATACAACAGATGGAAATGGTCATGCAATTCTGACCCTGCCTCAAATGTCTCTTTCCTAAAGCACATTGAAAGAGTTCCGAAAAAACTGTTTTTCTTCACATAATTCCTGATATTACAAAGCCATCTCGGTATCATTTTGCCTTTTCTTCCTATTTTACTGCTGCTTTATTTATTGCTTTTTATCAGAGTGATACAAACGTGTCTTCTTTTAAGCCTGCTCCTCATTTACTATGATTTCAAACTTGCTAGCTCAGTACTAGCAGCAACCCAGCTGTGGCAGAGCACAATACAGGCTATAAAGGCTGCGCAAGAGCAGTAAATACCTTGCTGATAGCCTGCCTTCAATTCCGTGCTGCTTCACTTAAACCATTACCAAAACTTGAGAGGGTTTAACTGCGGCGACCGCAGCGCAGTTTGTGCTGGCTGGGTTTTCCTCCCAGAGCCTTTGCTAACGCTGTTTTCTGCTTTGTTTACGCAGCAGTTTTACAAGCACCGTTTGTCTGTGTTACTGTTGTTATCTCGGCATATTGATACGTGCACGGCAGCGAATGGAATGTGGTCGTGGTGGTGGTGGTGCTCTGAAAAATGACAGCTTGTTTTGGTCACTGACCAGCTGCAAGGAAAGGCTTCTGTTTTCCCGGTAATCGGTTATTGTATTCAGGCATGCAGGCCAGGTAAATTAATTTGAGCATCCTCTTAATAAAAAAACAAACAAACAAGCAAAAAAAAAACCCCAACCCTAAACGAAAATTGGAGTAACACTATCATTCATTCAGACACAGTTTAAGATCGTGAGCCGCATTGCTTACCTATGGATATGGTCCAAACTGCAGCAATTTTCATAATGGCCTTGGTGCGGGAATTGAAGCGGCTGTGCTCAATGGGATTGCGTATTGCTACGTACCGATCAAGAGAGATGGCACAGAGATGCATAATAGATGCAGTTGAAAAGAGCACATCTAGGGAAATCCATATAGGGCACAACTGTTTAGGCAAAGGCCAAGCATAATCTGAAACATAGAGAGAAAAGAAATGAAAGGAAAAAAGGAAAAGGAAACGATTTGGGGAGCTAGGCCGTCATTTCTGGGAAACCGTCGGGGTGTTTTAACTCTGCGACACCGGTAAGGGGGACGTGCATGAGGAGGGGACAAGAATCCTCTCACGGGACCTCTCCACAGGCAGTCCCTGGCTCTGGACACTCCACAAACCCGCGGCCAGTTCCCACACATCTGATTTCTGTGAGCAGTACCTAAAGGGCAATGCCCTCAAGTGACCTCTCTCTTAACCTTTCCACCATACCTTTAGAAAATCAAATATTACATTCCTCTGTTACTGCCTCATCACGTTCTTTTCATGGGTTGCAAAGCCCTTTGTGGCATTAACTTCACTCAGATCCCTTCTGAGGCTCCCTTGATCTGTACATCTCAGTTCCTGTCTGCTGAGGCAGACAGTTCTTCTGCACAGCCTAACACAGCTACACGACACTACTCCACCTTTTCTCCCCAGGCAGAGGAACACTTGCCTCCTTACAGAGCAGTTGGGATTGAGTGGCTGAAATTTGAAAGTTGTTTTGAAGGTAGACAGAGCAGAGTGTTATTCTTTGCAGAAACAAGTGTGCCAGCAAACAGAACAGACTAGATAGTCTGACAGCAGCTGGCACGCAGCTCATTTGGGTGCCTGCACTTATTAAACTGTTCATTCAGTGCTGAAGTACAGCTTGAGAGCAAAAGTGACCCAGAAAGATCCTCAAGGGGCAGTTGTATTTAAATTAAAACTCAGGAAAAAATTGATTTGTGAATGATACCCCCATGTCAATGCCCAGAATGGATTGTGTGAGATCAATAACAGAGCCCTGCCAAGCTCTGGGCTTCTTAGGAAAAAAAAATCAAGAGTATCTATAGCAGCTGAAAACACGAGAGACTTCATAATAGTTGAATAATGAGATATTCTTGTGTCTTCATTCAGAACGTGGATATCTAAAGCAATCTTGAAGTTTACCCCAAGGATCAGAATCACCACTCTGCAGAATCAATGTTATATTAAGAATGGTGCAGCTCCATCCCACTGATCTTGAATGGAAAAGATGAAACATTAGTCTCAGAAATCATATTTTGAAACAAATTACCCAGCCAAGAGAGACCCAGGATACCTTTATGCAGAAGCCTGAGATGAACTGAACCAGAGTAAATTATTATGAAATGTCCCACAGAAGCCCAGGAACCTTTCACAAAGAGCACAGCGGAACGAGATGGACACATTAGTTCATTTTACCAGGAAACCCACAGATGAAGTGCTAAGTACTCACCAAACCCACACAAGACCCCAGCTCTGGGGAGATAAGCCATTCATTTCAGCAAGTTTGCACCACTTCTACTAAAAGGACTGTAAGTGGACTGGACTCCACAGCAACAAGCATTTAAGAGGTCCCTAGTGAAGGGAAATAAGTAAAGCACTTTGTGGCTGGAGCATCTTTATTTAAAAAGACAGCTCTGCTGTACAAATGAATTGAGCTTGGTTAAATTATGACTCAGCCCCTTTATGACACTACGATCAAACTTCACCTCCTGCTCATGTTCACACTTTGCAATTGCTTAGGACATCATTGCCATCAGCCTGCAACTGAGCTCAGAGCTCCAGCTAAGCACACCTCAGATTTGCTGGGTCTTTAATGATGCCTCAGTGAATGCCCCAGGGAAGAACAAGCCTGAAATCCTACAAGTGGCAGCCGTACTCCCTGCATAGCCCCAGGCTCTTGCTGCCAGCCCGTGCTAAAGTACATTCAGCACATTTTATACCTCACTACTTCTCTGCATTGCCAGAGCCAGCTTTCTGCTACAGGCTGAAGTGAGCCACGAGCACAAAGCCCCTGAGTGTGTCCTGAAGGAGGAAGAGATCCCTGGGAATGTGTGCGGGGTGATCATGACTGTGCAGCAGCCTCTGCATGGGGGAACAGTGACATGGATGGCTACTCCCCACATCACACAGACAGGCAGGAAATCTCCAGTGTCTCCAGAAAGAGATGCCAGGCCTCCAGGCTTCCTGTGCGTGGGAGCATCTCCAATCTGATCCATGGCACTGCGGTGGGTACGATCTTATTCCTGACATTTGTTAGACCTGGGAGAGGTTTCTACAGCAACCACCTTTTCAGCATTATTGAATGATGAATAGCCTCTCTTACTTCTTCTTCTGAGCTACCCAAATGCTTCCCGTGTCCCCCTGGAATGACTTCTGCTATTGATGTGAACAAGGCACAGCACTGCAACCAAAAAAACAAGGAGAAGCAAAAGCAACAGTAAATATTCACACCCACGGTGTGAGGCGAGGAGGTGTCACCTGCTGTCAGCCCTGGCACTGCAGGAACCAGCAGATCCAGGTAACACGCCCAGAGTTACTGCCCAGGCAACCTGTCAGGATGTTTTTGAAGATAAAGGTGATACAAGAGCTCTCCTAATGCCTAATCCTTTTAGTTTTTGCTGTCCCAGGGCGCTCTGTTACGCTTCTAGCTGAAAAGCCAGTTATAGGAGGAGACGTTTTACTTTCTCAGGAAGTTCCCTAAAATGATCTGCAATAATAAAACATCACTGCAGAAATTTGTAGAATGGCAGCTTGTAACACATCACTATACCTTGATAGGAAGGGCATAATACATACTCTATCTCAAAATGTAATTATTTTTAAGTAAGAATGGTGTGTGCGCTTGAAAAACACCTACACAGCCTACGAAGCCAGGAATTCGTAAAAAATGAAAAACAGATTTATTCTAACTCTGTTTTGAATAAATGTACAAAACATAGGAAATGTGCCCTGTGACTGTGCCAAGATGCAAAAAAGGATTAAAAAAATATTCTGTTAATGATGTTATACCTTCAAAGCAATCTTATCCTTAGAAACACTCTATCTGCAGAACGTAACAGTTCTCTAATTTGTTCTATTTTCTCTCATTTCACAGACAAAGAATAGCAATTACCATATATTTAGAAGAGCAGATGACTGAGTGAAGTGAATTCTTGGACCCTAGCACTTCTAAGATGTAGCAATTTCATTTCCAACAGAAATCAAGTATTTCAGTCCAAATTTGGCTCCAGAAAGAACGAAACAGTGCTAAACACCTGGGTAAGCAAAACCCAAATTCTTTGTAAGAAACTCTGATTTTTACCTTGAAATAATCTGTACCCTTAAAATCATATATTTAATGCACTGGCTGGTAGGCCAGATAGGAGAATGCTGAAGGGAATTAGATGAATCCAGCAGATCAGAACAGAAGTTTGTATTTCTTTACCCAGCGTGTAATCAAACTGCAGGGCTTTTTGCCTCCAGACCTTTTGTGAATGCCAGAAGTTTACACTGGACAAATTCACAGAGAAAAGCACAGAGCAACGATATTACTTTTAGATCAGTGTTGGCTTCTGGCTCTGGTCAGAATAAAACACAGTGTATAAAATCCAGGCAGGAAACTTCTGCAGAATATTACTTCAGCCTCCAATGCTGAGTAGCATCTCATGGAATCAGATTCTTCCCAGGACACATGGAACAAACACTCATATTTAACCAGGAGTCATGGTCCCTAGGTGGGATTTCATCTCCTGCCCTGGGATGAAAAAGCAAACCACAGTTCCTGTGTGTCACTGAACAGCTGAGATGAACACAAAGCGTTGGCAACAAAATACAGAAACTCAGAGGCGTTTTGGCAAAGTCACAGAGCATCTTTGTGTGTAGATAATTTCCTGTCGGATAAGAGATTCCTTACATGTTTTGTGCTTTCCATCAGGAAAGATGGCAGCTATGAAATTGGATTGCTTTTGTTAGAGGTTTAATGCATGTGGGTTAAAAGTGTTGCTTAACACTGTTATTATGGTGTTGTACTCTTCACTGCATGAGAGTCAAAATTACCAGACGCTGTAGCAGGAGATGACTGAATAATCCAAAACACATCAAACGGAATCAAAATTAATTATGTCAAATGGTAAAACAGAATTGCTCCAGATTGTAGGAGAATGACTGAACTGGAAAAAAAAATAATAATTAAAAAATGTCTGTTGCTTGTACAAATTAAGTACTATAATGCAATCTGCTCCAGTATATCTCCTGGGAACATGTAGTGTAACACCTAGGACAAATCTGGAATAATAGCAACAAAATACCTGCTTACACCACAATAAAGCAAAGAATTATGTAAAATTTATCCCTGTAGCTTCAGGAGTTATTAATGGGAAACTCACAGTAAGCTGCATCAATTGTCTCTTTTCTAACCACGAGCATGAATTTGGAAAAGGTTTCAAAACACTGTTGTGTGCTGTGGAATAAAGCCTACCCTTGCCCACTGCTAGAAGTCTTTTTGCCACCACTCCACCACTGATGCAACTGAAGCATTTTATAAACCAGAATTTCCAGTGTTCACTTTAAAGTTTCATGGCTGCCACAGCCTTTACAAAAATAGAAAGCAATTACACACAGTTTTAACATTACTGCATTGCATTATTCCCAAGGGAACGAAAGAATTTAAATTATTCTCTTCTCTCTCTCTCTTATCTAGGAAATAAAGAATTTCTTAGCTTTACTCTTACTGATGTGGTATTTCAGGCTATGTTATCTCTTTTCTGCTAGTTTATTTTCTTCAGATTTACATAGACAAATGACCCTGTATCAGCCTGAGAGTCACACAACCAAGGGTGCTGAAAAACTCCATCATGCCCAAGAAGTACAGGATGTCTTGCTTGACCCCCTGCAGTCCTCAGTGGTTGTCAGCACATCCACAGAAGGGCCCAAGCACGTGCAGCCAAGCCTCCTGGCTAGAGGAACAGCTGGTCTCAAGGGCAGCACTGCCAATGCTGTTTGATTTTATCATCGATATAGTGGAATTTAATGTTTTTTCCAACATATTGAACTCCTGGGCACTGGGTTACGTGAGAAATTGAGTTTAAGTTTCTAGCCTGCATTTTCTAGAGGAAAAAAAGGCTATCCTAATGCTCTCTGAATCCCTTAAATAGAACATACTCTAGCACAGCCAAGC